GTTCACGGCCGTGAACTAATGGCGGGACTGTGATCTTGAATAAAGACGCGCCATTTCACTTAGCCAGTTCACGGTCTCTGGCTTCATTTCACAGTCGTGTGACTGTGAACTGAGTTTAGTCTAGTGACTTGTAGAAACGCTCTGGAACATGGCCAGTTCACATTCTACGGCTCCGGTTCACGGTCTTGATGACCGTGAAATCCTTGCTTTCGTCGTGAACTTCGGCTTCTCCCGTCCTTTTTCCCGATCTTCGCGCCTTTTCCTCCAACTCTCGACTCCGAGGTTGGTTCCACTTGTTTGAGTCTGAAACACGGCAAATCTAGCATAATACCACACCGTTTGGAGCTCAAATGCCACAAACGCCTAAGGGAAACGGGTATGAAAAGTGTACATTTAGGCCCGAATCAATATATATTTCCTATTATAATCTGATCAAATCCTAGTAATCCATGGATCCTAAACCACTCAATTTACTGTGTTGGATCTGATCCCCCTGGGCCCCCATTCCTAAGTCGTCCATGTATCTTTAGTATTTTGCCCCTGTTAATGAATCTATAAGCCCATTTATTATGGGTCAAACTTAAACCCACATTCGTAGTGATACACATTCGGTCGAAGATCGCCATCATATATCGCTGGAAGGTCGTCGGTGCATTACAAAAATCGAAGGGAATTTGCCGATACGCAAAGGGGCCGAAGGGGTAGTTGAATGTGGTCTTTGTCTGGTCCTCCGGTACGATGGGAATCTGGAAGTACCTAGACATGCCATCTTGAAAGCAATATAACTCGTATCTCGCCAGCCTCTCCAGCATCTGATCAATAAATGAAAGTGAAAATTGGTCCTCCCTGGTGGCATCATTCAACCAGCGGTATCCGATGCAGACACGCCACCCAGTCACAGTCTGCATCGGTATCATCTGGTTCTTCTCGTTTGGGACCACAATTATCCCGCCATTCTTAGGGACCACTTGAGGGGGGCTGAACGACTTGCTATCAGATATAGAAAAGATGATCCTGACATGCATCCACTTCATGATCGCGGCTTCCTGACAGGCTTAATCACATCGTCCATCAGAATTGTGTGGGAGCATAAGGATGGGCTAAGGCCTCTGATATCAGTGATATTCCACACCATGGGAGCAGAAGGATGGGCTTAATCCCCTCCTGGAGAAATGAATACTCTAGGTGAGAGGGGAGAGGCTTAAGCTCTAGCTCTAGTGGTTCCTCTAAGGATGTGGTGCCAGGGCAAGAAAAAGATCGACTTGAATGGATTTTCTTGCCCCTCGATCGCGTCTCCCTCTAGCTCCGCCAGCTGCTCCTCCAACTGCAGCTCATGTGATGCATATTCCCTAGCAAAAGACAACACTCAAGGAAATCATTAGTATTCACACTCGTGATGGCGAGTACGGTCTCAAAATCAACAACCACATCACAATAATCCAAATTATCATGGAGCTGGGGGTGTTTCAGATTATCAGCAACAAAGAAGGTGATTTGTTCACCCTAGCCCTCAAAATCAACTTGCCATCATTCACATTAATGAGTGCATTGATGGTGACAAGAAATGGTCTACATAGAATCAAAGCACATCCACATCTTCATTAATGTGAAGAATCACAAAGTCAACAGGATATGCAAGTGGCCCTATAGTGAATATGAGATCCTATGCAATGCCCCTAGGATGCACAATGGATCGATTAGCTAATTGTATTCTCATCCTAGTATTACTGGGTTCACCTAGGCCTAGATTCTTAAGGAGTCTATATGGCATGACATTTATGCTAGAGCCTAAATCCTCCAAGGAATTTACTACATGCAAGCTACCAATTATGCAAGGGAAAGTAAAACTCCTTGGGCCTTTGTGCTTCTCAAGTAGCTTGTTGTGCGGGATGGCAGAACACTCCTTGTTGAGCATCACTGTTGACAGCTCCCCAAGCTTTCTCTTGTTAGTGACGAGATCCTTCATGAACTTTGTGTACTTGGGCATCTTTGACAATGCCTCAATGAAGGGCATGCTTATGTTCACCTGCTTGAGCATTGCTATGAAGTTGGTAAACTCAGTCTCTAGTCGGTCTTTGTGCAACCGAGTAGGGAAGGGGAGCTGTGGGACATACTCCTTCACCACTAGTTGTGGCTTATGAGTAGGCACCTCTTTCTCCTTCTTCATTTCTTCCTCATCTACAGGAAGTGCTGAAGCAGGTCTCTCCTCTTCCTGTCTAACCTAGATAGGGGTCTCAACAGTCACCTTCCAGCTCCTGGTAGTAATGGCCTTGTAGTGGGACTACGGGTCTCTGGGATTAGGCATGGGCTGAGCAGGTAAGGTGCCCAGGACGTGTTGTGCCACGCACTAAGTCACACTCCCAAGTTGGGTCTGGATGTCCTGCAGGACAATATGTGTGTTTTTGTGCCCAGTTTTGAGAGTTCTCTACATGGCTTCAAGTTCCATGAACTTTCCTACTGCCAGATCCATGAACCGGTCTATCTTGCTGAATTTTTGCGTGTTGGAATTGGAAAATGTGTTCACTAAATCTCGTGGTTCGGGCACTTCAGAAAGAGACCTGAGTATCTCTCCCAAGCATCCTGGAGAGTCTCATCATCCTCCTGCGCAAAGTGGGTCATCTCCTTCTGCAAATCCGTTGTCTTCTATGGGGGATGGTAGCGGTTCAAGAATTTATTAGCCATGTTGGTCCATGTTGTGATCGACCCTGGAGCCCGGACAGGGGCATAGCCAAAATTTTACTTAACGTGGGTTCGAAATGAAAATATGAAAAATAAACTTAACTAATATTTACAACGATCCGCAACTTATTTTCATATCTTGAAAAGTTTGTAAAACACATTTATTATCCAACCTATCTAAGATGCCACTCTCAACATATCCAACTAAAAAATCATTCACCCTTTCAGCACTCATTTGACTTTATAGTGTGTTCTTTACGTAGTTAGTTCATTGTGGAAAATACTCTTTCAACACTTACAATGGCGGCTGGTAATAATGTCAATTTCACAAGTCGATACGCTAATGGAAATGGTCGAAACTTCTTCTACACAACTATTTTCCTACAGAGCTCGACGATTCCCTTAAGCTTAGTCAATCTCTTTGCTATCTTCACATCAAAGATATAACTATTTAACTGAGGATCAGATATAAGATATTATCCATAGAGAATTCATTAGGAATGAGATTTGGAATTATTTTAATTATAATTTGATTGTAAACTTTGGTTGTATATATTATAAAATATCCTATAGGTTAGAACTTCGAATGATTACAGTAATTCTAGCCTACTCCTAAGTTTTCCAAGTTGTGGCCAATATCCAATAATGTGGGTTCAATCCCACACGTAGGGATGGGCAATGGGAGGGTTGGGTGAGTTTTTGTTTTAAATTAACTCACCTGCTTACTAGCGATTTGGAATAATTGTAACCCGCAATCCATCCACATTCTTCTATGGGTCGGGTTGGGTCGGTGAAGGATGCAGTTGGGTCGTGGGTTAACCCGCAAAAGCAATTCTCCAACTAACTATTAAGAAAGTTGACTAACATTTATAATAAAGTCATAGTACATTAGTAAGACTGTATCAATTTAAACACTTCTCATTTTGTCTCAAGTGAATCCATATAATATTTGCATAAAAAAATTTACTCCTCTATCAATCAAGTGTGTAGAGAAAACTTACGCATTTCATGATTTTGATCAAAATGCAATATGCTCGACCGAAGGGATAAAATATGCTCGACCGAAGGGAGAGGAATGCAATTAATAATTTAAAGTATGCTCAAAATCAAGTGCTCAAAATCGCTCCTACGGCTTGTTCTTCGTCACTTTCTCTCTCTAGAACTGTATTTTTGCGATTAGAACTCGAATCCCCTCTCAAACACCCAAATTTGGCTTTAGAACCCGCAGGTAACCTCACTTTTATGGAGAATTTGCAACAGCAGGTGCACGGTCCATTTTGAGTATAAATAGCTCATTTCATCCACTTTAGCTTCTCCATAACAGTGAGGTTACCTACTAAATAAGATAATCTCTATCCAGATGATCCGGTTGAGTAATCAACTAATGACTAAATAGGGTGATAAATCGTGTATCCCATACGTGGAGCAAATAACACACTCCCTCACCCACCGAATCAAGTAATCGAGAAGCCCATGTGTTGTAATAAAGCAAACAAAAAGGTCATTCGAAATGGTCGTATGCTTTTTCCACGTCTATTTTCAAAGTTATGAACTTCTTCCTTCTTGAACGATGATTTTACAATTCGACTTCATTTTCTGGTTATATTACAATTTGCAATTGTTCATAGCTTTATATTAGGATATTGGTTTCATCTTTTGAGGGATCTAGCCCCATCCAAAGTAGCAGTGACTTGGTTCTCGCTACTGGTGAGAGTGAGAATCACAGGTGCAACTGCACTCAGAGGTTGGGGCAAGATACTTGCCTCGGGAGGGTAATTTGATGAGTCCACTAAGCAATGGAATCCAATGATCAACTTGAACATACTCAAATGCCATCTTACACCTGTTCTTCCAACGACCACAGATAATTCAAAGCAACTTGTAATCAGACTCCGCACCTGCAAGAGAAAACATATTGCACCAAAGAAAGACATCAAAAACCCTTGAATCCCATTGTTGCTGATCCGAAGCGAGACTAGGAATGCGCTAAAAGAGACGAGCCAATGGAAGAAAATTTTCTCAATTGTTTCCTCCTTCCTGTTCCTCGATTCTTTTATTTCAGCATTCAGCCTGAATTGCTAATAGCCTTGTATCTTTTCTTCGTTTTACACATCCAATCTTGGGCCGGTGAATAAATGTCCCATTACGGGCCCATGCAAAAGACTTCAATTTCGACTAGTTGGGCTGGGCGTCGGCGAGCCAGAGCCCATACCTCCACCCGTCCACCTCCTGCAATTTTGATTTTGATTTTTGTCCCCGGTGGTTGTATTTCCTTCCCCCCGATGGCATCGGAATTCCTGAATCCTGACTCCTTCAATCTCCTTCACCTCGTACAATTACCATCTTCACAGCTGCCGTTATTGACTGTCGAAAACTGGTGATTCTCAGTTCTTCCGCTGAACTATTTCCTCCGGAGAAGATATTATAATCACTTGGGTTATCTGCTCTGAATAGGAATTTGTCGCCGATGTCCTGGACTCCTGGTTTTTTATTCGCAACCGCCGACCAGATTGCTTCAATGTAAATCGCATCTTCGTGCAAGAAGTCAACGTGTATTCATACGGAATTAGAAGCTTTCCTTCCACTTGATGATATCAATATCACAAAGCTTCTTCCCCAATCAGCCGGATCCTTCTTTCTAGTTTGATTGAATTGAGGAAGAAGAAGCCATATATGGGTCAAGCTCAGAGCGAGCATTCAGTAGCTGCTTGTTCAGAGGAGACGCAAGTCAAGACTCAAGGTTCCTCCCCTGCTACTTCCATGGAATCTCTCGTAGCAGGTATTGCTCGCAAGTTGCAACCCTTCTTTCATGCAGCCATATAAGTCCAATTAGCCATATACGTTACTGTCCAATTAGAATGCTCTTCAACATCCATGACAGTACTCATAAATGATTATTGCCTGCTGCATATGTCTGTCACTGTTGTAAGGGGATTGGTAAGTTCTTTACATTCTGGCTTAGACTTCAGGCCGAAGAAATGGGTAGGAACCATTCTTGGCTTTTTAAAGATGATTGCTATTTGTTGTGGTGTCGGTTGCTTTTCTACTTCAATGGAAGTAGGCGTTTGTCCCCATTGAATATAGCATATGCCTTTTATTTCTGAGTGAAGAAATGGGGAAGTTATTTTGACCATTTTAGGCTTTAGACAGAAGGATCAAGAAAATGAATAAGTCCACTCTTGGGTTTTGTTGAAGATGATTGCTAGTTGTCCTGATTGTATTTGCTTTTCCGTTTGCTTGGACAGAAGCTGCAGCTTATGGCGATTCTGCTGCCGAGAATGAGGTTGGTTTTGCAACCTTCAGGTTCCCTGGGGGCATGTTTTGTCAATGTCTTAGAACCGTAGAGATGGTGAAGGTGAGTTACTGAGGGACTTATCTTTTCTTTTCTCTCTTTTTGGCAGTCTCCAGATTCCAAGGCTGAGAAGGCACTGGAGTGCCCATGCATAAGTGAGCTACGAAATGGCCAGTGCGGGGCTCAATTTTCCGATGCTTTCCTTTGTTTTCTCAAGAGCACTGCTGAGGAGAAGGTAAATCATTTCTTTTACCAGAGAAAATGGTTTCAGTGTTCCCATTTTGTATGGATCCCCAATTAGGGTAATGGCAGCCTGCCAAGTTAATGTATTTTCATGAAAGTTGCTACAGTTAGGCTGAATATACTTCTCCTGATGAGCTATGAGTAATTGAGAGGATGTTGGATTGTGGCACATTGGTCGTTACTCATTAGTCATGTTAGTACCTTGTTCCGCAGGGATCAGATTGTGTGCACCCATTTGTGGCCCTGCAGAATTGTATCAAGGTGAACCCTGGGGCATTTTCAAAGGATGTTGTAGAAGAAGAAGGGGACGAGGTGAAGAAAGAGGAAGAGCCAGTGAAATATAGGATCAGCCCTCCTTCATGGGCAAGAGATAAAACGCCTTCTAGCCCAAAGTCAAAGCTGTAAGAAGAGCTGATATGAGATGAGAGTATAGTTCCATGAGCATCACTGTTGGAAGAAAGAAGGTGCAACCATTCTTTCCACCTAGGATTAGTTTAGTTCATTGCTAAAGTCAATCAAAGTCAGATGGACGACTCAGGCGGGGCTTAATTGGGGTTTGATCAGGTTTCATGTCATGTCAGTATGTTCATTTCTCGATGTTGTTAGAGAGTTCACTCATGTAGTAATTTGGATGATGACTTGCATAATTACCAGGGCGGTAGCAACCCTTGGGTGGCCTCAGCTCCCCGAGAATCTTGAAAGTTACTTGAAAGTTACGTATAAAAAAATGCTCGGTATTATAAATATAAACGTTAATAATAGGGTTAATTGCAAGGATAGTCACTGGGTTTACTAAAACCTTTCGTGTTTGATCACTGCAAATATTTAATTTCATTCATGGTCACTAAGATTAGTTCAATAGTTCAAGTTTGGTCACTCTCCGTTAGTCTCTTTTAGTTTTTACTGATGTGACAGTCAACTATTATAGTTGATCGTTAAATGAGTGACGTGGCCAATAAAAAAACAATAAATAATAAAAAATATTTACAATTTCCACCTCATTTTACCACTATTAAAAAATAAAAATAAAACTTACCTCTGTTTCCCTCTGCTCGCTCCCTGGTTTCTCACTATCTGAACGCGAATGGAGGAATCTCCACCGACGATCGCCGCCGATTTCCTCCCGCTTCTCCTCTCTCCTCTGAAGCCCAGCATTGAGGTTTTTTCCTCCCCTGCAATTTCTTCTTCCTTCGTTCCCTGAAACCGGTTTAGGTTCTTAAATCATCTCGGCGCCTCAATACTCTTTGCAGGTGGCTGATTGGGAGCACCGTCGCCGGAGCTCTGAGATTTCGGACCTCAATCTCGATGATTTCGTCCGCCGGGAACCGACCTCCGATTCCAACCGCCCTGTAACCGTAAGTAAGCTCGCGTTTTCATGAACTTCTATAACACCCTAGCACAATGGTGGATTAAACTCAATTGGCTTTTCTGCAATGCAATTTTGCTTCTGAATTCAGTCCTTGGAGGAAGAATCGGATGCTGGGAATCAAGCTCCGAAGTCAGAACAAATCTCGCTGCTAGACCGGCTTGCTCTGACCGCACCCGTGCCCTGCTACTTCTTCAGGTACGGGCTCTGCACCAAAGGCGACGCTTGCTCCTTCTCCCACACCGCCGCCACTGATCATGTCAAACCACCTCCACCGCCGCCGCAACCTCGCCAGCCTAGCAACAACAGCAGCAGAAGTGCTACGCTAGAGATATCTGCCAATGCGCATTCTAGCGATGATCACCAGCCGTGAGGGGTAAAGATGTGACCATTGTGGAGGAGAGGAGCTCGTTGAGGATATTGAAGGAGAGATTGTTGGATCGTCCATTGTCGTCAGGAGGGAAAGGGTTTTTCGATCTTCGAGAGCAATTGAGGAAGCGGAAGGCTGGAGATGGCAGCGGCTGCGGCTGTGTTGTTGTTGAAGCGAGTGATTTCAAAGGGCCGAAGAGCCTTGCTCAGATCAGAGAAGAGAAGAGAAGAGAAGAGAAGAAGGTCAGAGGAGCAAAATGGTAAAGGCAAAATGAGGATGAAGTGAGTTGTGTGCAGTGGTGGACCCAGGATTATTGAAGAGGGGTGTCGCCAATAAAAAATTATAATAAATAAAATAATTAAATAAAATTTAATAGAAATTACTGGAAATTCATTTATAAGTTGACAACGTCATGTTTACTACGAATTATGACGATTTTTCATATCCTGAATTTTTTTTAAAAATATATTCTTCGCTTATGTTACAAATCAAACATTTTTCGATATACACAACTATTTGATCATTCATAAATTAGTCACTCAACCAAAGAGAATCGACCCACGTCTAAAATCAAAGTTAAAATAAATTAGTTTACAATCAAATATAGTAAACCACGATCTACCAATTGGCAATTTTAGACAAAACAAAGTATGCTTAAAGCAATATCATTAGCATTTTTTCTCTAGTTCTACCAAATTAACCAAAATCAAACCATAATCTCCCATAAATCTACGCAATTCACCTATTAACTACAAATTGACAAGTTAAATGGGTTTGTGGGTTACTTAAAACAAGCATGCTTATTTGATTTTACTTATTATTGTTAATTACTAATTATGATGAATAACTTATAACATTAAAACTATTGTCGTATAATAAAGGTGTGTCGCTTATAATTATTAGAGGGTGTTGGAATTCTCAAATTAAAATTTTTTGTACCGAAAAAATGAAGGTCCTTCACAAAATTTTCTGGTGGAGGTCCGCCCCTGGTTGTGTGGACTGTGGAGTAGCGTAGTACAGTGGATGACAGAATGAACTTGCTCCTTGGCAACAGGGAAGAGAAGTAGGAAACATTAACACCATAGCAACTCCTTTGTTTTGGGGTTAATTGCAAGGATGGTCACTGAGGTAAGTTTTATTTTTATTTTTATTTTTTAATAGTTGTAAAATGAGATGGAAATTGTAAATATTTAAATTTTATTTTTTTTATTATTTTATTGGCCACATCACTCATTTAACGGTCAACTATAATAGTTGACTGCCACATCAGCAAAAACTAACAGAGACTAACGGAGAGTGACCAAACTTGAACTATTAAACTAATCTTAGTGACCATGAATGGAATTAAATATTTGCAGTGACCAAACATGAACGATTTTAGTAAACCCAGTGACCATCCTTGCAATTAACCCTTTAATAATATGTTTGTCAAGTCCGTTATTGCAAACTAGTTCAATTAATTTCTTCAATTTTAAGAGTAGTTTGAGATACAAGAGCAGTATTTGTAATTTTATTCCCCTATGTTTTCATTTGACTAAAAAGGGGTTATAGTCGACGTTGATTCATTATTTTTAACGTCTCTAATTCAAAACCGAACACGAAACTTTGGTTTCATTCGGCTCCTTTATGGGATCCGGAAAAATTGATAGCTATAAAACCTGCGCGAAAAAAAATCGACTAATAACATCTATGTCAGCTTTTGTGTTTTTTAATTTAATCATTCAACTTTCATGATTTGTAAATTCCTTAATTTCAAATTTTATCAATTAAGTTCATCAATTGTAAGGATTACACAATAAAACGAATGAATATTTTATTAATTCTAATATTGGCATAGATTTGATTTTTAGTTATGAAAATCAAAGCCGAGTTACAATGACAATATTAGTATGTATTATTAAATTTTATATAGTTTCTTATTTACATTGAACTTTTTTTGGGGGGTAAATTGCAAGTTTCTTCACTAAAATTACTAAACATTTTCACGTTTGCCACTAGAATTAGTTTATTCCATTCATGGTCACTAAAATTAGTTCAATGGTTCAAATTTGGTTACTCTCCGTTAGTCTCCGTTAATTTTATCTGACGTGGCAGCCAACTCTAAAAGTTTACCATTAAATATGTGACATGGCAATTTAATATTTTCACCTCATTATTTCAATTATTAAAAATAAAATAATAAAACGTAAAATTAATCTTCTCCTTGCTACCTCCATCGTGGCAACTCAATCCGTCACAGCACGGAACCCAACAAACTCACTCTTCTCGCCAGCTCCGTCTCCTCCCGTAGAAGACCTCGGCGGCTAACGATTTGGGGTCTTTCACAAGTAACTAAGTGAAACAGAAGGAATGCCAAGAAGAGGGATTTGGGGTTTTCTTATTTTCTAGGAAGTGAGTTTTCTAGAAAGAAAATGACGGTATGTTTGGTTGATGCTAGAGAAAGGAAGGTTTGGGATTTCTGGGGAAGGTTCAAGGAATAAGATTACAGGAAGAATGAGAGCGCCCTGGAAAGCAGTTTCATCCGGATAGCTCGTTCATTCCAAGGTCGAGAGTTTCGAGAACAGAGCATGATTTGAAAACAAAGGGGAATCTGGTGAGCTTGTTCCCAGAGAGGTCGTGCTCTTAAAAAGTTTCGCAGAGACCACCGAACTATATCGGGATTCCATCGGAGAAGCTGTTATGCGACAAAGATACCGCTTTAATTTCTTCAACCTAGCTAACAACGCTCCCGGAATCAGCAGCTGGAGGTGGTTCTGACTTCTAAGACAAATCGAGGATTTCCGAAGGGAGCAATTAGCGAAACTTAGATTGAAGATTTCCTATTAAGAAAACTTCGACTCCCGATCGTTAAATCCCGGCTCCGCCCCTAACAATTAGCAACAGATGGAGAATAAATTGCAACTAGAAGATAAAAGTAAAATTCTATGTTATCCATAGAAAAATAAATTCGTATCGTATCATGTACAGTACAGACAACAGTACACCCTTATTTACAAGTCTCAGTACAATGCAGTATAGCCTTTAGCCAGAAAAACCTGCACTTGCAATAGGAGGTCAAAGACAACTAAAGCTTTGTGCGTTTATATGTAAATTTAGAGCTCTCTCACAATGGCCTCAGAAGCGAGTAATCTTGGAGTAGTTCTCGTTCTGATAGTGTATCATTCTCATTTTGAGGCGTCCACAGCACCTCAGCTGCCTGTATGTATGACAAAACCATAAACGGAACATGGAGATTAATTGTGGCCTTGTGGGATTCGGATAACAATAACCAAGTCAGAGGATCCAGATGATTAGCTAAATCTCTTACGAGTATACTGCGAGAGGGAATTGCGCCGAGCTTCTGCAGAGCTTCCTTCAGATCTCCGACGCTGTTAATGGCAGGTAACTTGTGCACCCCCTCGGCTGCTACCAAGATTGTCATCTGCAAACATTTGGAGACCAAATTGGGGCTAAGAGCTGGGATACACAGTTCAAGGTAGTGGCAAGGTCTAAAAGATGAACTACTATTACTTACCACTATGTATTCATTGCTAAAGCCGCTTGCTCTCTGGCTTTTGGTGCTCTGCCTCTTAATGCTGTTCACATTAACAAGCGTCTCTTCATCGAACTTTCCCCGTTCTTCAATAGAAAGTTGGTTGAACCGTTTCTCACCATCCTCCATGCTTCGCTTCACATCTACCTGACAGTATTGAAAATTTCACACATGCATGATGAGTATCGAAAGACCCATGAACCCTGATACGCATATAATCAAAGAGCATTTTCCAATTCTTTTACTTGATAACAAAGAGACTACATCACCCTCAACGATACCAGGTAAGAACCAACTTCGTACCACTACGACATGTTACAATCAACGAGCACATATGGAGCAATATCAACAAACAGACTACTGCTAGTAAATGGATATTCGGAGAGAAAGAGAAGAGATGGTCTCTCTTAACTTACAGCTGAATAGGCTGAGATGCAATAATCAGGATGGCGTAGCAATGAAAGTGAAGTCTCTGCAACCACATTACACGGATGATCATTGATCAGTTCTTCATCAGCCATGGATGCTAACTAAGCTCATATTCCGGTCGTCTAATATAAAACCCTAAGAATTTATCAGCTTGTGAAACTTGCCATACCTGTTAATACATAGCTTAGACCCTGCGAGGAAGATGTATCTGCAACTTCTGCAATCTTATTAAGATCCTTCTGAAGCGAGCGTGCCATTCCTAACAACCCAACCTGAAGGAGAAAAGGATTAGTGTAAAATTGCACAATCGACTAATCACAAACAGTTCCTTTCCCAGTTGAAGCCCCTAAGCAACTATAACTGCAGTCCAGACACAGGAGTTTCATTGCAACAGTTCCATGCGTTTTCCCTCTTTTAATACACACCATAGTTGGCTCCTTGGTTCTCAAGTACCAAAAGTTAGAATTCTCAGTGCACCCAGTTTAATGCAGGACAAACAGAGCATCCAAAGCAGTTAAAATTCTCAGTTCGAACAATTTGAATGGAGGCCATGGGAAGTACCTGAAGCTTGAGAACGCTGGTTTTCTCCGTAGCTGCCAGAATTCCCCCTTCGTCTCGATCGGATAGAAACCCGGAGACCAATACAAAGGCAGCGAAACCAGCCAGTATTAAGAACAAACCAGAGCCAGCACCAACTCCAACCCCGACTGCCGGCCCAACATAAATTCCTCCACCGCCGAACGGGGAAGGGCCGTAGTAAGGCGCGGAGTAGGAGGAACCCGAGCTCGAGCCGCGAGGCACGGAGTAACTCCTCGACGACGAGGAAGAGGAGCGGGAGAAGGATCCGCCGCCTATCCTCCCACCCGAGGCAGCGAATGCGGAGGCGGGGTTGTACATCAACAGCGCGGCGACCAGAATCGCGGCGATTGCCGGCTTCTTCGTCACCTGCAGAGCCTTGACGGCTGCGTCGTAGAGTCTCTCGAACGCGTTCTTCTTCTGCTCCTTGGTCTCGCCAACCGCGAAGCTCGAACCCGAGGTAGTGGGAGCATTAATGTCGTTCGAGGGGTTCAGATGCTTCGCCACGAACGAACACCTGACGGTGAGCCTCGAAGCAGGTTTCGCAGCGGTTCTGAGAGGGAAAGAGCGGGAGAAGGAGCGAATTGCAGGAGACGGCAGGGAGGGAGGGAATTGCTTCCATTTGAGTGGGTTCCACTGGAGGAATGAAGCAGTTGCCGCCATTGGAGAAGGAAATGGGCGGCGGCGGGGGGATTTGGGGAAGAGATTTTTTTGGGCAGTTTCTATGGCGGAGCTGTGGTTTTGATTAAATTGAGAAATTCTAAAATTTTAATTTAAACCTCATCTCGTCCTTACTCCTTATTGGTTGATTTGATTCTCATGGAGGGAGATTAGTGGATTAGCTCTTCCTCCCTCAGCCAAGGTTGTCAACCCGCACGTTGATCCGGACCCAGTCGAACTAGTGGGTCAATGGTTAATTGGTTACCCGGTTTAGTCCGGTTTAGCCCGGCTTAACTCAGAAATATGGAAATAGTCATTATATTGTACTTGTCCTGATAAATTATATCAAATCTCATATAACATATGAGTTATAACATATAATATTACACCAAAATAACATGTCGTACTTAGATCCAACATATAGTGAAAATTCACACACACTCATATAACATCAATATTCAAATGTTCAACATAGGATTCCAAAGATTGAGTTAGGCGAAAAGAAAAATCGGAAAATAAGCGCATTTCGCAAACCAAAGAAAAAAGACACAATTTAACCTCCAACCCGGTACCTTGTAGCGGTCGACCCGGCGGGTGTGTGCGGCCCGTTTTTCTCACTGGGCCAGGGTCAAAGTGGGTCGCGGGTTGACAACCTTGCCCTTAGGTAAGATGAGGCGATTAAAGGAGTGCAATTAACAAGGTTGTCAAACCGGTTTATACGGTTGCGTTGGTTTAGCAAATGATATGGTTTGATTGATGGCACAACTAGTTTTTTTTTTAACAAAAGATAATCATGTATTGATTGAACAAAGATAGTTATATCCTAGAGTTCAGCCAAGTCTGAAAATAAATAAAAAATGACTCGTAGTCGGGTACAAAGAAAGGGCCTTGCGAGTAGGGATGGCAACAAAATCCGAACTCACGGGTACCCACCCGACCCAACCCGTTCAACGCGGGTAAAATCCGTGTTGACAGGTTTTGGGAAGAGTTTGGGTTTAAACCCGTTCACTATTCATCGGGTTGGGTTTAGGTTTAGGTAAACCCGGCCCATGGGTACCCGCCCACACCCATATAATTAATTTTCTCAGTATAGTTAATATTATAAACAACTAATCTTATTTATGTTTGTTGAGACATGTCTAATTTTTTTCTTTTTAATTGTGTAGAATGAAGTTGATGTTATCGAGTGGAGAGTGAAGAAACTTAATTGAAAGGAAGAAGCTTTCAATTAATCATGTTATTTATGGATAATTTGTGATTTACTTCAATTTTCTTGAGTTTTCTAGATTGGTGTTGAACAATTTGTATAGTTAATTTGTGATTTGCTTGAATTTTCTAGAATAGTGTTTTATATATGGATAATTTGTATTGAGAGATTGATATTTGACTTTAATTTTGATAGGAACTTGTTATTTTAAATTTTTTACGACAAAAACCCGTGGGTACCCATGAACCCGCAGATACCCAGCGGTTGGGTTGGGTTTGAGTTTTTCAAACCCAGTGGATTTTATTACCCCGGGTTTTTTCACGATAAACCCATGGGTTTGGTTTTGGGTTTGGCAAAACCCAACCCATTGCCATCCCTACTTGCGAGCCACCAAATGAGCTACCCTATTGTTACTCCAACCTACAAATCGTACACTAAACCCCATATTCATAGCAAATGACTGGATGACCTCTTCAAGAATAGTCCCCGTCTGATTATCTCTTACATCCGCCTGAAGGATTTTCTCAATGACTACCTTAGCATCACCTTAAAATCGCACTTCAGAGAAGCCTTGGCCTAAACATCACGAAACAGCCTCGCGGAGAACAAGTAACTCAACTACCATAAGATCATCAATCAAAGGATATTGAACCCCCTTCACCAAAAGGACGTCCCTAGCAGGAGTCATAAGCACCATCCCACATACAAATTGCCACAGCAAACCCATGGGGACTCAAGGGAGGTGCGTGAGTCCTGGAACAGGGTAGGAAATGGTCCATCGGCAAACAAACCCATTCCTGAACCTGCTGGTTAAGTTGTCGCATCAAGGCAGGGAACCCGAACTATTTTCCTTCAAAGACAAACCAATTACGAGACCATCAAATTCGTAGCAATAACCGCCATGAGCAAAGTCGGTTGACTAATCAAAGCCAACAATTTTTTTAGGAGCAGCGGGAATGTATGCCGAGGCAACCCTTCACCAAGGTATGAAAGGCCCGAAAGATCCCAAAGAGCGCGTGCGACTGGGCACTCAAGAAACAAATGCTCCATTGTTTCAGAAGCCGCCCAACACGCCGAACACCTAGGTATCACAACGACTTTTTTCTCAATCAGGGCCTCCGCCATGGGCAAAATTATATGGTAGATTTGCCAGACAAGCACTTTCAACTTTGAAGGAATATTAGCGTCCCACAAACGGATCCAGCTAGCCCTATCCATCCAACTAGCAAGGGATCTCCATCTACCTCTCTACTGATCAAGAGTAACCGAAAAATGGTAAGTTGACTTAACCGTGAAAACCCCATCAGTAGTCGCATGCCAAATCAACCGATCCTCGATATTCTGACGAAGCAGAGGGATTGCTTTATTAGCTCTGCAGATGAGCAGGTCAAACCACTCACTAAGTTTATGATCGCACCAGTGCCCCTCCCCGGGGCAGATAACCTCCGCCGCTGGCAGATCCTCCCCAGCAGGCAACACACGGGGATTATACACAGGGGGGAAGAGGGTGCTGACTGGGGATCCAATTGGAATTAAGCAGAGAGGCGGCATGACCATTACAAATCTGTCAACGTAACCCCGTCTCTAACAATTGGCGACCAAAGAGGATACACTGCCACCCCCAAGAAGGACGGGAGCGAGCCTTAGCTGTGAGAATGGTCACATTGGGGAAATGCTTCCTTTTATATACCTGAGCTAAGAGGGAATGAGGTTCACTCAGAATACGCTAGCCGATCTTAGCCAAAAGAGCTTGATTAAAATGCTCGAAGCGGTGAAAACCCATACCCCCTTCATGTTTGCTTTTGCACATGTTATACCAAGACACCCATCGAATTCTTGATTGTCCCTCCTCAACACCCCACAAAAAATGAGCTACGTGCTTATCTAGGAGGCGACAAAGAGACAGAGGTAGCTTAAAATAAGACATAATAAAGGTAGAGCTAAAGCAACAGACTTAATCAAAGTCTCCTTAGCCACCCAAGACAAAGTCCTGCGCTTCCACCCCTAAAGCCGTGCCAACAATTTCTCCTCCAGATAGCGAAAGGTAGCCATCTTCGAGCGAGCTATCAACATTGGGAGCCCTATGTACTTATCCTGAACCCCCCACCCCCCCAACTCCTAAAATCTCTGCTAAGAAGTCCTGATCTGCCAAAGCAATATTTTTGCTAAAATAGACCGCTGACTTAGCCAGGTGAAATAGATAAGAATCTTCAGCAAAGAACAAATGGGAGATTCGTGGAGCCCGATGAGCCACCTTAACCCTTTCCAGCCTTCCTTCCGAAATTGCTTTCTGAATCAAGGCCGCAAACCCCTTCATGCAAATCACAAATAGAAGAAGGGAGAGCGGGTCCCCTTGACGGAGCCCCCTGGAGGGGAAAAGAAGCCAGACGGAGATCCATTCATGAGGACAGAAAAGTTGCCGATTGAAGACATTCCTGGATCCATCCTCTCCAGACAGACTTAAATCCCATCTTATCCAAGACTGCAAGAAGAAATGCCATTCGACTCTATCATAGGCCTTTTCCATGTCAACCTTCAGAGCCATGTATCCCTGCTTGTCGCGGGTCTTGATCTTCAGGTAATGCATTAACTCATGTCCTAGGAGGATATTTTCAACAATCTGCCTTTCACGGATAAAAGCATTCTGTCCTTCCGAGATGATTTGGGGCAGTTGGCCAGCAAGCCTCTCAGCCATTATCTTAGTGATCACCTTATACACAAACTGACATAGACTGATGGGTCTGAGTTGACGCAAAGTCTCCACCTGATCCACTTTTGGGATCAAAGTTAGCCAGGTGTGGTTAAAGCTACGAAGCATTCTACTTGTTGTAAAGAACGAGCAGACAACTTCTATCACAGAGTCACCAATAATACCCCAGAAGGCTTTGAAGAATGTCTTCGTGAACCTATCAGAACCTGAAGCCTGCTTAGAGCCCATAGAAAAGACCGTCTGACGAACTTCGCAAGGGAGGACCTCAGCCGTCAGGCTATCATTCATTGCAGGAGTAACACTAGGAACAATGGGGAGATCTGCCACCCACTCCATCATGTTTAACACCTGGTTTTCCGAGGTGAAAAGAGCTTGATAGAAATTGGTAGCAATGTTAGCCTTCCCATATTCCTCGGTAACCCATTCACAGTCATCATTGCTAAGGCCAAAGACAAAATTTTGCTTTCTACGAGCCCTCGTCACCGTATGAAAATAAGACGTGTTCTTGTCCCCCTTTTTCAACCAACGGATGCGAGATTTCTGCTGCCAATAGATTTCCTCTGCCTCCCACTGTCTATTCAATTCGGGTAGATAGACTTGATACGATCAATCTCAGCGTGCAAGGTGTGAATACTACACAGGGAGTTAGTCGTGCCCGCTCTGCTCCAATCATAGAGCATATGCCGAAGTCTCCTCAGCCTCTCCCACAGCTGAAACATTGGCATCCCATGGATTTTATTCTATCAGACATAAGCCACCATACCCTTAACTTCTGGATTATCCGGCCAACGAGCATCAAATCGAAACAGAGGGTGACACTTCCGGACATAGGGTTTGTCAGAAAGAAGTAATGCCCGATGATCAGAACCCTGATCTTTGAAATGCTTAACAAGGGACTCTGGAACACGATCAACCCAATCTTGGGAACACAGAGCCCTATCAAGTCTCTCACGAATACAAGCCAACCCCATACGTTTATTTGTCCAAGTAAAAGGTCACTCTGATACCCTGGATCATACAGACCCAAGTCTTGAACAAAGTTCCGGAGGTCAATGGATTGGTCCACATTCCCCGGGTTACCACCATCTTTCTCATTTTCATTGAGGGTAACATTGAAATTGCCAATGATCACAAAGGGAACCTGGAGCCCTTCACA